ACCACCCAAACAACAACCACCACAAAAACAAAAAACAAACTAAACTTCCTTTTAAAAAAAAGCTACATGGTCTCATTACCAAAAGAAACGACCAGCAACCTCCTTGTATGTGGAGGAACGAAGTGTGAAACATGTCTTCCCTTTTTCAGTCCAGTCTACTGTGAAACCTCCAGGTGTCTCTTACCAGACTTCGTTACTCACTTTTATTCAGCACTCTTAAGATTGACTTGCTTAAAGGTGGGGCTATACTATCAGATTTCTAACTTTCAAAATTCTTCTACATATACAGCAGTTTCTAAATATCTGCACATAAGGAATTCTTTAATAATGCCTCTAATATGCTTTTTCTCTACCCTGCATTTTTTTAAAATTTTATTGTGTGTGTGTGTACCATCAAATCAGATCTGACTGGTACAGGAGGAGACTGTCCCCCCTTCCCCGGTCAGAGCATCTGGTGGATTTGAACCGTGCGCCTCTGGGATTGCAGTGCAGCTTCTTGCCACTAGGTACCCTGCATTTTTTTATAGCAAACCTTACTTTCTTCTCTGGTTCCTCTATTTCATCTTCTTTGTGCCTGCTTTCCAATGCCAACAGCACTAAACCTTGGGCTATAAGGAAGTGTTTAAGGGTAAACTATATCTTCACTGAATATGTGAGAAACAAAAGAAAAGTTGTTCAAAGTAAATCAGAAACTGTTGTTAAAATGGGGCTCTATAATTTGAAGTTATAGGGAGCTCTGGTGGCCAAGTAGCAAGAAGCTGCACTGTAATCCTGAAGGTGAGGTTTGAATCCACCAGATACTCTGCTGGCGAAGGAGGGGCAATCTTTTCATGTGCCATCGAATTTGATTTGACAGTACAAAACAAGAAAAAGAGGAAACGAAACTGGGGTTATAATGAAACAAAGAAAAATGTAATGGATTTGCAATGACCTCCCTACGTTTTCTTTCTGTGGATGTATGTTTTCTTGCATTTGCTAAATGTTGGCTGGAGTTAATGGTACAAATGATAACTGTAGAACCGTGTAAGGATTTAGCCTATAGTTAATGCATGGAGCTAATTCTGCTAGCTGAATGCCTACATTCCAAGATTTGCAAATAACCTAGAATAATCATTCTGTTGACTGATTTCATACAGAACTGTAGAGAACAGAAAATTCAGGAGGAAAAAGATACCAATTGAAGATAATCCATTAGGGCTTCTGTTTAATCATGTGTTCAAGTTAACCATTAGTCTGTTTAAAACTTCCTTCCTTCTATCCTATACTTCCCCATCCATAGCTTCCTGAATAATGGGCTAAAGGCAACGGTATGATACAGCCTAGCGATAAATGATTAAGGCTCTTGAAATAGAAACTCCAAAAGGGAACTGGAAGTGAAACTAAGGCTGTGGCTCTGCCAGGGAAAAAGGGTATTTTAAAAAATTACTTTGAAGACTACTTTTTAAAGTGCTTTTTTTGGATTAAATGACAACAGTCCAAAAGTCGAATACCTGAAAAGATGAATTTGGTACTTAAGACGGGCTCTGGAGATTTTAGCTTCCCCCAAACCTGTTCCAACCCCCTTTTCCTGCTAGTGTTTTATTATTTTTTTAGCTGCACAAGCAACACATGAACAATATGCTCTCCTGGTGGAATTATCAACCATTTAGCCACAAAGACAAAGAAAGCAGAAAGCCTCCACGCTTAGCTCCTCAATCCTTTAGCCCCATCCTCACACTCCATCCCTTCTCAGAGATCACTTTGGTTATGCACCTGGTACCTATCTTCCCAAACCCTGTTATCAGACACAGTATTTTATGTCTTTGCAGGTGCAAGAATGTGAATGGAAAGAGAGAACTTAGAAAGATTTAGAAATTATATATATGGTTCTACAATTTGCCCTTCAATTTAATAAGAGAAGTATTTGAAAGAAGGCTTTCTTTTCTTGCTTAGGACTAAGCATTCAACAACCATTATCAAGACTTATCTTAGGGAGTTGTGCTTCTAACTCAAAGGCCAAACTTCTCTGTTTTGAATCCACCAAAAGCTCCATGAGAAAGATGGGCAATTTCCTGCCGTGCATATTTATATCATCAGAAATTAGCTTGAGGGTCAGCTATAAGAAGGTTCCAACTCCATAGCAACGACTCTGATATTTTAAACAGCTCGTAAGAAGATATTGATAAACTTTACTTTCTACTGACTGTTAACCAGCTTTTTGAAACATCTGAATTAATATATCTGTAGAAATGTGAAATTATGTTTCCTTGTATTTTAAAAAAGGGAAGGCCAGCAATCTGCTAGTCTTCTCACCTCTATGCATAGAAGAATGAGGCTTGTTTCACCAATAATTTGATGTATAGGTGTTTACAAATGGTTACCAAGTATGCAAAGGGACAGAGACAGGAGCTGTTGTTTGTGGTCATGAACCATCTCATTGGAACTGACTCCTCACTGACCCTCTGTGGGATTTTCAGAGGTAATAAATCACCGAGGAGGTGACTGCTCATCTTTCTCAAACTGTGAAGTAGCTGGTAGATTCAAGTCTTGTGCATTTTGGGTCGGCAGTACAACTCCTTACCACTAAAGGCATCAGAGCTCCCAGAGAGGGGAATAGTAGTAACTAACTAACTAACATGAAGGAAAAGGCATCACACATTAAGGAGCGGATCAGATGCTGTGAGGGCTCTCTTTACTCAAAAATAGAAGTCAGTCAAGATGTACCCCGCAGTTCTCCACTGGGGGGCAGCATTCCCCTGCTAGGTTGCACTTTGTCATTAAACAAGAGTTACAGCTATAAGGAATCTCATTTCACAATAATTTTTACAAATTAGAAAGGTGAGGATTCCATAAAGTTACTCAGCTCCTTCAGTAGCAGAATGAGATGAGTAACACTGCAGTCTCCTAACTCCCTACCCAGCATCAAAATGGCAATACTCTGCTATAAAATGTGAGCAAAACAACAGAATTCCTGACTCCTGAGGCACATTCCCCAATGTACCCATACCTATCTGTCTTTGAGGACGTAACCATGCTGTGCATGCCGAGCTCTTTCTCCTACTGCCTGCACATTTAAAATCATGTATCTTTTCAGAGGAGAGGAATACTCTCCATGCTATGGACTCGCACAGTCACTGCAACAAAGCCCAGCGGAGATCTGTGGAGGGTTGAACAAGATTTTGATCTGTTCCATGGAGGGCCACTAAGAGTCAAAATTTACTCAAAGGCCCCAACAACCAAACCTGTATGGTCACAAGTGGTTTTCGGACTGTTAACCTTTCCTCCCCTAGAGAGCTGGGCCCCAGCATTTAAGGAAATGAAAATGATTTATGCTTTTCATAGTCCTACATACCTCATAAGCAGTGAACACTTGTAACTGACCTTTTAGGTCCATTCTATACCCATTTCAAAAGAATTACGTTTCTCACCGTGAAACACGATCTCCTGGCCCCTGGTAGCAGGTCCTTCCAGTGTGTTAGGAGCATTCTGCATGTTTTCACTCCCCGTACATCTCCACTAGGCCCACTGTCTAGTGGAAAGCGTTCCCTACCACAGTGTCATAGGCTTTCCATGAGTAACACTGGCACAGTGATAGGTATAGTGCTGGAAGATGAGTCCCTCACTGGAAGGCACTCAAAATAAGAGTGGGGAAGAGCTGCCTCCTCAAA